AGGGAGGGCAAGTGGGGCAATTTGCCCCAGGTCCCGGGCCCCGCAGGGGCCCCCACGAGAATATAGTATTCTATAGTATTGCAACTTTTTTTTATGGAAGGGGCCCCGAAATTGCTTTGCTCCAGGCCCCTTAAATCCTCTGGGCGGCCCTGGCACTTCAGCTGGTGTGTAGTGACGTAGCCCAGCTGAGGATCTTTCCTATGCATCCACACAGCTAAGCCAATACTCTCTTGGAGGCTCTCATCACCTCATGTAACATCCTTTTTCCTGGCCTTGATATATGCAGACTTGCTCTGCTTATATCCAGTCAGAATACTGCTGGAAGGGTCATTTTCCAAGCCCATTGCTTTGACCATGTCACTCCCTGTCTGTGAATCCTTCCCTGCCTCCATCTTCTCTATTGTCTCAAACATGAGCTACTTGTCTTCCCTTTCAAGGCCCTTCCCGACCTGTTCCCATCGTACCCATCGTCTCTCATTCGGTACCGAAATGTTGACTTCCGCCTTTCACCGGCCAATGGTGTCAGTCTCTGTCGCCCACTTGTTACATTTGACAAACAAGCACCTTTCTTCCATGGGACAAGCTCCCTGTAAACGGCTGCAAAACGAACTCAGTAACCTACTTCCAAACCCTCCTGAAAACTCTGCTCTGCTGTGAGGCCTAAAAAACACTGAGGGCTATCACGCTGACCCTGGTGTTTCCTTGTACCCCCTGTCTTTCTGTATCCAGCGGTCTCTTGCGTTAGACTTACCTTCTAAGCTCGTGGTAGCCGGGACTATCTGTTGGTTCTGTGTTTGTACAGAACCTGTCTCAATGAGGTCCCGGGGCCCCTGGCTGGGGCTCTCAGGTGCTTTAATGAACAGTTAATGTTCTCTAGCTGAGAATCTATCCCTCCCTGGGTAAATAGTCTGTAAATGTAAGGAGACCAAATCCAGGGCTAGTTTGAATTTGTGTCTGGAGTCCTTTCAGGATCTGCTGTTCAATTCTGGTCGGGCTGGCTGGGAAATGGGCAGTGGTAACCGTAGCCTTGTTTTCAAAATCAAGGGACACATCGGATGGGAGAGCAGATTGGTTTATTTTCCTTTCTACTGCTAGAGCACGCGGCCTCTGCTTGTTCTCATTGATTTCTGCTGAACAATCAGCTGGCGTGCTCTCGCTAATCAAGCCAGTCACTTTTTGGCATCTGGTCCGAAGCCCTGCGACATGCGTAGAGAGACGTCCGTGGTTTTCCGTGGGATTGGCATCAAGCCCTAAGGCATTTGTCACTTATAAAGATCTTCTTGGTCTTGTGCAGTGGCTCTGGAGAGGTCTGTGCAGAGAGAGGCTAAGGTCGGGGGTAGGAAGGTTCTTGTAAAGCCGGGGGTGACTCCTCCCAGACGCCGTGGGTTTTTGCACGGCAGGTGAGCTGCTTCTCCTTATTGAGGACAGTGGTCACTCCACAGTCCACAGCAGCAAACGGCTTCCTGGAGCTCACCGCTCCCAGGGGGCAGAGAGCAATAACGGCCGTGCGTGCCTTTCACACCCGAACAGCCATCAGGTTCCCCAAAAAGTCTCAGGAGCCACCCAGCCAACATTTGGTGGCAGGAACAGTAACCTATACAAAGGAGTTAAAAGTAAAGGCTTCCACTGCAGAGTCTGGTTCTGAGCTACTGGGTGAAGGTGTCTGTCCTGAGCCCTGAACCCTGGGGAAACAGAAGATAAATGGGATATTTAATGAGTGGTTTTAATGGTTTTGGCAGAGGGCATTAATTCTTTTCCTGCATTCCTCAGGTGAACTATACAGCAGCAGCTCCCTCCCTTAGAGAAGAAATGATGATCTCTATTTATCTTGTCTAGCAGCCCAGCTCTGGAAGCATTTTTAATTCAGTTTTTCTCTTTTCCCCTCCTTGTCTCCCTTGTTGTAAGTTCCATTACAATCTGGTTTGCTGGCTGTTTTACAGGAGCCCTGTTCAATGCCAGGTGGCAGAGATGAAGCTCACGGTTATTTCTCTTTTCTTTCTCTCTCTTTTGAAGGTCTGTTCAGGCTGAAAACCAGCTTATTAATTGTTATTTTCATTCAAATCCCTGGTTTCTTTCTCTTAATAAAAGAAAGAATGAAAGAAAGAATCTTCCACTTTTTGTCACTGTGTTGTTAGTAATAGAGATGTCTGTGACACTAACAGCCTAGTTAATCCAGTCTCTACATTCTCATTTAGTATGCAGATTCATCAGGTGGATTAGCAAAAAAAAAAGAGAGAGAAAGACAAACTGTTGGTCATGAAATTTGCAAACACGGGGCTTGATCTGCATCATGTCCAGGTAACTTACAAGTTACAACAAAGTGAAAGGAGAATTAGGTCCATTATTTAGAAGAGCTCTTTTCTCCTCACCTCAGAGGAAGGCTGGTCTGATGTTTAAGGCATGGAGCTGGAGAGCTGGATTCCAGTCTGGTGCTGCCACAGGCTGTGTGTGGCCTTGGGCCAACACTTAATGTCTATTGAGTGTGTGGTTTTCAAAACTGCATTACTAATTTAGGAGCACAAATACCATTGTCCTGTGATATGCAGCGTAGATGTAGCCCTATCGGTCCCAGGCTATTAGAGAGACAAGGTGGGTGTAGTAATAAGCTTTGCGCAGTGGCAGTATCGTAGCCAATGAGGTTAATCCAAGGCGCGATTATTGCTAGTTGAAATCTTTTATTGGACCAACTTCTGGTGGTGAGAGAGACAGGCTTTCGAGCCACACAGACCTCTTCAGGTCTGGGAAGGGTGCCGGGGAGCCTCACAGCTAAATGCAAAGGGGGAACAGATTGTTTAGTGTACGGGGTTAGCACATATTCAAAGGGAGCATTCATGGTGAAGTGGCCCATTAACACTTCGGCTGTCATAGGACAAAAGGGGAGTTAGTGGCTTACAGATTGTTGTCATGAGCCATAAATTCAGTGTCTCTGTTCAGTCCATGATTTGTAGTGTCCAGCAGAGTTATGACTTTTAAGCTCCCAGGCTCGTCTTTTGAAAGTGTTGTGCAGGTTTCCTTTGAGGATGAGGACTGAGAGGTCAGATGCAAAGTGGTCGCTCAACAGTCTGATTTGAAATCCTCCCACTCAACATACTTAAATAAGTATATGCACAAGAGCTCTGATGCAGTCTGAGAGCTTGTCTAGTAAATGTAAGTCTAGAGTGTACTTTCAGACCCAAATTTCAATAAACCTCGGAAACTGCCTAAAATGCAACTTTTGACCCTCCAGGAACAAGCTGTTTATTTTCACAGTAATGATTGCAGGCTACCTGGGAGGAGGAAACAAAGCGATTGTATTCCCAAGGGCCAGGGCCATCACCCTAACCAAATCTGACACTTCCAGTGCTTGACAGTATTTTTAAAAGCTTCTGTCAGTTTGAGCAGATCTAGAGTTTGGGAATTCCAGGCAACTTGAGCTCAGAATCTCCAGCAATGGGATTTTATTAAAGAAATCTACAAGATAAAGTCAGTTTTGAACTAGCCCCTGGCAGGAGATGGAAGAGATGATAATGAAAACTGCAGTTTAGCAGAGTTCATGAGCCAGAGCAGAACAAAAAGCCCTCCTCAAAATCTTTATTTAATTTTAAAACTATTGTCTTCATTCACATTCATGTCCCTTTTTGTTCACTTTCCCCAAAGTTTCTTGCACAGATAGTGGATTCCAAAGGTCCACGTGTGAGGGAGGATTCATGGAAAGAGAATTTGAAATGGACGTGTATGAAATTTTGGGCCAGAGATGCTTGTGCATTCATCCAGCCACAGAAGAGAAACAATGTTCTGTGACTTATCTGACCAGTAAAAATACTTGGATAGAAAGACAGACACTGAGGCCCAGATGTTCCAAGTTATTTAGGGGCCTAACTCCCTCTGACAATAGGCCCAAGGGGTTAAGTAACTCACTTAAAGAATCCTGCCAGGTCAAAGGCAGAAGTAGAACCCAGGCATTCTGACTCATACTCCCTCTTTCAAAGGAGAAGAGCTTAGAGCAATAGAGCAGCACCAAGCAATTATTTAAGAAATAATAAACATCTAATTAACAGGCCGTGCAATGAGTTAAAGCAGGGAAGTCATGATCGGGGTGGGACCAGGTTTGTGGTGAATAAAACTGCAGCGGTTTGTAGGACACTGTTCAACAGAAACAAATGACATTAAACATTTTTTTTAAAAGTAGCTTCTTTCGTAAACCTGGTTTTAATAAACTTGCATCACCTCCTGCCTTTCTACAGGTCTCCCTGATGCCTTGTGATACCGACAGGCACTGACCTAATGACGCATTTTACGATGCTAATGCTATTACCAAACGCTGCTGGCTGGAAGCTTTTAATTCACTTCCCACTCCAGAGGGATTGTCTGCTTTTTCATTGGGCAAACAATAAGGAACAAAATATTTACACAACTCATCTGGGGTAGCAATATTGTCCCATTGATTTTGTGTCGCTTGGATTTAAGCAGCTTAAACATTATTGGTTTTTCATAATAAAAATTAGTGATGGAGCGCTTTGAGAACCACAAGATAAACAAGCACATGCTAGGATTTTTATACATATAACACTCTTCCCTGCCCACAAGCTGTTGCATCCTGGGAGAACCAAGTCAATTAAAAAAAAATTAAGGGTGGAAAAATATTAGGAAGGGGGGAAAAAAAGAGTTTTGGCTAGAGCAACTAATAGCAGAATGGTCAAACCCAACTCGTGCTGTTGGTCTGTTGGAGATCCCCCCCCAGATCTCCAGACTAAAGAGCTGCGAACATCATGTGATGCTCACAATAGCTGGGAAGTTGCCAGGAAAAGATATTGGACCTGACTTGCCTCTCACGTGAGCGTCAATAACTCCGCTGATGTCACTGCCCGGGTTCTGCTCAGCCTCTCCATCCATCTCCCCGGCTGGCTGGGCTGGTGGCGAAAAGGATCCCCAGCAGGTAAAACGATACAGCTCGAAACTCAGCCTTTGAACCAGCCGTTTAAAACACAAACCAGCTCCCCGCCGCCCCCACCCCCGCCAAGTGAGGAAATGGATGGAAACACAGAGCAGAACCTGCACAGCAATGCCGAGAGAAAGTGAATTCCCTGATTGAAACCCGGGGGCTCTCATTTGGGGGAAGGAGGGAGAGACGGGGGCAAAGAATGAAGCAGATTAATTGGCTTCTGCAGCAGGAAAGGGTTGGGGGCTGACACGGCTAAGGAGGTGGCAGCCAGCTCCATCCCTCTGCAATGGCACCCAGAGCAGCACTTGCTATTCTGCTGAGCACGCGGCTGCCTCCTCAGGGCTGAGCTATAACAACCAGTGCTCTCAGGTGACAGTCCTCCTACCCAAAGGAACCCCTGCTCGGGGCACCGAGCGCTGAGTGTTTCGCATCCCTGGAAAACCAGTTTCTAGCCCTATAAATCGCCTCCTTCTCTAACTCTCCATTCCAGTGTTGCCAACTCTCACGATTTTGTCATGAGTCTTATGATCATTATTGTTTCCCTTAAAGCCCCAGCTCCTGGAGCCAAGTGAATTGGGGATGATTTCAGCCTTCATTCTTAAAGAAACAGTAAGTTTCTAGCCCTTGAGGTTGGGTGGAAAGCTTCAAAATGTGACCCCCATGCACCCTGAAGGCTCAAAAAGCAGAAGGCAAATAAAAAGATTGCCAACTGGATTATTTTTACACAATCTCATGATTTTTGGTGAGCCTGACTTGTGCTTTTTGAACACTTGGGGTTGGCAATGCTGCCATTCAAAGCGGAGATCAGCCCTGAAAGGAACGTGGGGTTGGAAACAGAGCAGCAGTGTGTGCCATGAGGGCCGGATGAAGGGGTCTGACAACATGGCCTCCACCTGCAATGCAGAGGTGCAACCCATAGAGACCACAGGTCCCAGAATGCACTGCAACTGGCTGCCTGATGCAACAGGGAACACTGCATTGTGGGACTTGTAGTCTCTGAGGCCCACATGGCAGAAAAATCCTTATTGCTGCAAGAATCCAGGTGCAGAACAGCATGCTGGGACCAGCAGTCTCTGCATGATGCATTGCCTTTGAGAGCTGGGAATTCAGCTCTGAGTCTGAATTTCAAACTCCTCTAAGCATGAGAGGTTTTCTGCTTGGACTCCTCAATGAGGGGGGTTGGGTCTGGTCTTAGATAAGGATTTTGAACATTCCTCATGTTCTGGGGAGGTTTAGATTCAGAAGTCTGGATCAGGCCCGTCTCTGGTCATCCCATTTCTAGCCCTTATTGGATCAAGATGGAGCATCACGTGCAGCAACCTGCAGTCTCTGCAGGATTCACCACCCTTTTCAAGCCAGCAGAGGCTGCAGTCTGTACCACTGTGTACACGTGAAGTGCTGCTGTCTGGTTTTTACCAAGTTGCCAACATGTCCTTCAGATGGGCCAGGTTTTGATGCCTCTGGTGTTTCACAAAAGCTGGGAGAACTGCAATTCTGGCAGATGCCCACAGACTGCATCACATGCTGACATACATGTGGAGTGTCTTGTGTGCGCTGGGTTTGTCCACGCATGATAATTACCTTAGATGCAGCATGGACACACCTATGCTAAATATTAATAATAAACCAACAAACGAATGCCTTGGCAGTGAATTATCCCGTCGTCCTCAGCGGGCTTGTTTGAACAGTGAAACGTACTGTGGCTTTGTCTCAGTGTTGGTGTTTATTTGCAGTCTCCCCAAAACTCCTGGGACCCGAAGTGCTGTCATAGACCAAAAGGCTGCTAGATGGCCCAGATAGTGGTACCTAGGAGCATGCACGACCAATTGCATCTGTTCGAGAAGTTTTCAGCTGACATGATCAGGCTGCCTACTTGCTTGGCCCCTGTGGCTTTCACAGGGCTTGCTGGGGTGGGGGGTATCGTGGCATTGTGCTAAGGGATTGAGATGCCCCCTGCAAATGCCATGCACTGCTGTGCTTAGAAGCTCAGAGTCTGGTGAAATTGCCTCTGAAATCCACTTTGTGACAGCAGTTGCTCAAGGAAGAGCTGGGTGGATATTTTGCCTTCATGCATATGTCTCTAATATGGTACATTTCCATCCGCCAGATGGTCCTGGGCTTGTACGCAGCTTGGGGGACGGCGAGGGGAGCAGCGGAACAGAGGGACTTTAGCTTTGAAACTCAAAAGAGCAACGCTACATGTGTTGATTGCAGCCTCCCCACTGCTGGGGATGTTTGTGTCCTGTTCAGTTCGGTGGGATTTCTTTCTTCCCAAAGCTCTGCCAGCCCTCCCCGCATGCTGCATAGATTAGCTGGCATCGCTCTAAATGCTGAAATACCCAGACATCTTGCCTTTGGGCTCAAATGTTGCTCCAAAGCCCATTGCAGTCAATGGGAGTCGTTCCAGTATTATTATTACTATTCATGTTTAGCATGGCAGTGCCTAAGGGCCAGCTGAGAACAGCGCCCCAATGTGCTAGGTGCGGTACAAATGTAACCCGCATGCCTGCTGGGTGCAGCGTTCTGTCCCATCTAGTAGCACTGAGACCACTTAAAGAGAGAGATAAAATGAGCCTGCTCTACAACCTTAACTAATAGGCAGTTGATTTTAGGTTCATGCACTTAGCTCCCGAGGTCCCCGGTTCAATCCTGCCCACTGACGACCGGGGTCTGTTGGCGTTACACAAACACCAAGTAGCAGACAGTGCCTGCCCGGAAGAGCTTATCATCTAACTAGACCAGACAGACCCCGGGTGGAGAAGGGGTAGAACACATGGGCAGAGTGAACAATGGGATGGCAGCAAATGCCATGCTAGT